TCAAAGAAGCAATCACTTGTTTTTTTTTTAAATGTCAAAAACCTTTGTAGGAGATAAGATATATTAGATTAATTTAATATTGAACAAGGCTCCATTTATACTGTATATCAGATAAGGGAGCAGTGACACCGATCTTACGAGATAGAGCATGTTAATATTCAATAACGTAACTTCTATTTGACATAATTTTATCAATGTTTTGGAAAGTTGCTCAACCAATGCAATAATTTTAGTATATGTTATAATGTACAATTAATTTAACCTTAAAGCCTCATTTATCGATTATAAAGATCAATATTAGTAAAAATTATTATGATGGATTTTAAATTGACTCAATCCACGTTAATTAAAAGAAAACTGATTAAATAAATAATTTTGACCATATAGTTTCACTTTTCTGACTTATTTTTTTTACTGTTTTCAAAATTTTTTTAAAAGCATGACATAAAGATAAATTGACTTGATTATCTAGAATGACGTCTGGTTTCTTAAACATTGCAAAATGTAATGAATTTATATTTTGATATTATTTTTCGCTATTTGGGCTTTTTTACAGTAAGAGAAAATACAAATAAATTTTTTTTTTTTTATAAATTAGTTCCAGATTTAACATTAACGCAAAAAAAAAAATTTTTTTGAGTTTCCTCCCTTTCTACTGCAAAGCTGTCATTTAAACATCATTTAGGTCAAGAAGCCGAAAATCATGATTCATTCAAATTCAATCATAGATTTTACATTTCAATCGGATAATGTTACGAAATTATTGGTACATTGGTACTTTTTATCTACCATTTATCCAAAGACATCTTTACCAAGTATTACTTCTGAAATTACACAACCTTACTACAACCTTTACTAATCTTAATATACAAATATTTTCTTGGTAGATTTGTAAAGAACCCATCATTTTCGTTGCTTTTATGTATCATCTTTCTCATCTGGAAAATCATAATAATGAATCTCCCTTTATTTATTGATGCATTTTGAACTTTATGTTTTTTTTATCCCGGTAAATTGGCCGGTTAATTTTATTCTAGGCCTGAATCTATGAATTTGAGCAGAGCTAGCCAATCGCGCATAAAATGTGTCGTTTACTATTGAATTGTTTTCCAAATAATCAAAATAAAAAGTAAAGGAATAAAGTCCTTTATTAAAAAAGATTGATATTTTAACAAATGACAATAAACTTGATATTTAAGAGGTTTTTTGGAATCATTATCACCTGGTATTTTTCATACTGATATAATTCAATCAGGTATGATGGTATGAAATTCAGGGTGGATATGTATGGAATTATCGTTTATTTATAATAATACATTATTGAAAAACCATAATGATGTAAATAGGGGTATCGCGGTCTATTAAATTATAATTGCGCTTATTATTATTTTACTTTTCCATATGGTGTGTGTTTATGACTACTCAATATTTTTACATATTTTTACAATTTGCGCTTATAAAATATTTTGAATTAATGTCATGTCACTAACGTTCATATATTGCAATTTACCATTCAAATCAGAATAAAAAGCTAAGTATAAATCAAATATTTCATCAAAAAGATCCAAAATTTGATGTGACCAGTATTATTTTTCGAAGTTTAAATCTATACAGATATACAGTATATACCCTGGGATACGAAAATATGATTCTTTGCTTAATTTTAAAATGTATATTAAAATAAAATCTTCAAATGTTAGAAAATTTTACAAAATTTAAACATTTTATTAAGGTGTCGTTTATTATAGTATTTTATTGAAGAAAATGAAAATTATATTAAAAATAATTTACTTTGTCTTATATAAAATTTCGTCCAACTAAAAAGGAAGTACAATCTAATTAAATTTGTTATAAATTTGATTAATCAATGTTATGTTTTAACAAACAGATGATTTTAATAATTTCGAGTCTTTCGTTTTGTAATATACTAACGCTAAATATTAATTTTTTCGTAAATTGTTAAATTAGCCAACTTATAAAATACTACAGTTATACATGGAAACAATTATATGGTATAAAAAAATTATGTTCCATATATAAAAAACCATCTCATATCCAAAATGCAATATTCTCACCTCTATAAACTATATTAATAAATTATTATAAGTATATTTTACCGAATTTTACCAATTTTCTAAAATTCTGTCTTTTACCAAGAATTTAACTGTTTTACAAAATTTAATATTTTTATTTTTTGCATGTGTATATAAAAATATATTTTTTATTAAATATAAATAAAAATTATAAATTTTTGGATTTCTTTCAAAAAAAAATTTTAAAATAAATGAAACAATAAATAAAAGATCGAATAAAAAAAATACATTCTTTTGTATAAAATAAAAACATTTCTTTTTAAAAATATATCACTTAAATAATTTTTAAACAAATTTAAAAAAATATGTGAATAATTTCAAATCTATAGATTTATGACTAAGAATGTAAGCTATATTGTCATGTTATTAATATTAAATAGCAAATATCTTTTCTTCAAATCAGTAACTAAATATGTAATTAGTTGTAAAATAAATTATTCGACAAACTTCTAATTAGTTAAATTATTGAACTTGATGATAAATCCAGTATTAATTATTATATTTTCTTATGTAAGATATTTCTATTTATCAATAATCGATTATTTTATTATTTTAGATAGAAAAAAATTATTGTTTATTAAAACTAACAGTTAAATTGCTAAACAAAAGGTGTAAAAAGTTAGAATATTTGTTTGAATGTTAATTTTTTAAATTTTTAGGGTTAATTTGAGTACCATAACAATAGAGTTTTGTTAAAGAGTTGGGTAAATGTGGTAATTTAGTAATTTTAGTCTCATTGCAAAAAAGTATCTTTAAGGAATCGGGTAACGTTGGTAAGGTAGTGATTTTAGTATTAGAGCAATTGAGTATTGTTAAAGAGTTGGGTAATATATGTAATCTAGCAATTTGAGTACCATAGCAAGAAAGTATCGTTAAGGAATCGGGTAATGTTGGTAAGCTAGTAATTTTAGTCTCATAGCAAGACAGTATCGTTAAGGAATCGGGTAATGTTGGTAAGATAGTAATTTGAGTTTTAAAGCAACGGAGATCCGTTAAGGAATTGGGTAATGTTGGTAAGCTAGTAATTTTAGTCTCATAGCAAGACAGTATCGTTAAGGAATCGGGTAATGTTGGTAAGATAGTAATTTGAGTTTTAAAGCAACGGAGATCCGTTAAGGAATTGGGTAATGTTGGTAAGCTAGTAATTTTAGTCTCAAAGCAAGCGAGTACCGTTAAGGAATCGGGTAATGTTGGTAAGCTAGTAATTTTAGTCTCATGACAATAGAGTTCTTTTAAGGAGTTTGGTAATGTTGGTAAGCTTGTAATCTGAGTATTATTACAGTCGAGTATTTGTAATTTTCGATATCTTTGTAATCCGCCTAACTTGTTTAATATGTTATCCTTATTAATATCTGTAATAGTTAAACTATAAATAATATCATCGTATATTCTCTTTTCTAACTCATTGATGATTGCTTGCTTTTCTTTGAATGTTTCTTCTTGTTCTCTAAATATTACCTCATTAGCTTTTGTTTCTTCATTGAACTTTTCTTCTAAATTTTTTATAGTATCATGCTTGAATTTGGTTGTTTCTTCTCGTTCTCTGACCTTTTCTTCTAAATATTTGTATTGAGAGCGAAACCCTTCGTTACATTGCTTTAATTCCTTAATTCGCGTTATAACTTCTTTTAGGGATTTTTTTTCTAAATTGTTCTTTAAAACCATTTTTTTTTTTGATAAAATTTTGTTCGGATCGGTGCTTTATTTTCTTTTTTTTTTGCATAAAAATTACTCAGCCCTCGGTTAAATATTTCCAAACTGGTAATACCCGAGCAAACTAGTTTATTTATGGAAATATTAAAGTTAAATTGATTATTGACAATCAAATTAAGATTTTTGCTGTTAATTTTTCTTGAAACTTATGAACACATACGTTGAAGTGAATTAACGAATGATTATTAATTTAAAGTTGACATTACGTACAGTAATTGGAATTGGACGACAAAAGTACCAATGAATGAAACCGTTCACTTACTGCGCCGACCAATTTTCGTAATAATGGTGAATTTTGACACGGTATAAATTAGATTCCTAGACCAATTTCTTCAAACCCACCTCCCAAATTTTCTCTTTCCTGCAAATTTACAAATTTGCAAATACCCATTTACGATTATTCTTACCACCCACCCTCCCCAGTTAGTGTAAAGTGTAGTTTATAGTCGTGGTGTTCGTGATTTGATGTTATACACGCATCAAAAGTATTTTGGTAGAAATTCGAAATATTAATATGATTTTGGTTATAATGCTTTCTGTTCTCAGGTTATATGCTGTGAACGGCTCCTAATATTGTTCCGATATAGTAATGTTTCAATAACGAAAATCATACCCAGATTTTTTGTAAAATAACTTTATGAAAAGATAAATATATAAAAATAATTAATTAAAACAAAGATAACAAAATAATAAAAAACAAAGTTTACTAGGAGCAGTTCGAAGCATTAACGAATCCAAAAAAAAAAATAAAAATGAAAATTAGAATACTTAATAATCAAAAAAAATCACGTCATGTAAAAATGAAAATTCAAATAATTTAGCGCTTCAGTCCCTGTGCTTACTTCGAATTTTGTCTTACCAAACTCCAAAAACAAAAAGAAAAAGTTAAATCGCTGCGATCAAAAACGTCCGAACCCGTAACCCAAAATAAAACCTTAAATCAGAAAGGAAGAGCGCAAGATTTTTATATTTCGGATATATTACGAGAAAACAATATTTCAAAAAATTTGACATTGTCATGTAAGCAAAAAAAAGTATAAATTGGAATCAATTAATCATATAAAACATAAAAACGTCTGAAATTTAATTTGTGCAAAATAGTAGAAAATGATTAGCACAATATTTTTGGGTTTGGAACGTTTGTAAGTAATTGTAATAATAGAAAACATAATAGGAAAAAAATTGATAATCGCCTTATCCAACTAAACTTCCGGACCCAATACAAATAAGAGGAATCTAAGAAAAAATCATTAGGTCTATAATATTTATCAAATTTTTTCTTTTGTTGCGAGTACAAGCCACCAAAAAGGTGATGCAGATCTTACCGTCACAACCAAGAAAAGATCGAAGGATGTTGCATCATCAATAACGTTTGTCCATGGCGGTTGCCTAACAAAAATAGTTCATTCAAAGAAAAAATAGAAATAATACATAATGTTAAGCAATTAGTATATTGTACAGGCTTTTCAGCATTCCTTATTTTCGCTATATTAAATTCGCTTTAAATAACTGACTATTAATATCACTTATTCTGATTGACTACTCCCCACAGTTGATAATGCAGACCATGAAATAATCATCGACAACAATGAAATGGTAGTATTCAAAAAAATATAAAAAATTTTTATCTTTTCTTAAATTAATTAAAGAAACCCGCTTATTATAAAATTAAATACTTACAAAGCAAAATTCCCTATCGAACTTACATCCCAAATGCCATTTCTTTGTATCTTGATTTCCCAAAATGTTCCCGAATACAGTGAGTAATCGCATCGTGATATGTTCATACTTAAATTTTACACTTGAATTTCGAGAAATGTACGTTTGTAACTTTATACATTAATTCACATAGTAAAGGAATTTTTCAAATTTATATATTCGTTTTACATAAATCTGTATAGATTAAGGCTATTTGATTATTCTTTCACTTACTACTTTAGCTTAAAGGTAAAAAAGATGATACTTCTGCCAAATTTTAAAAAATCCTGCGTACTTAGATTCACCAGATTCACCTTCGGAACTGATTGTTTCCGCAAAGGATTTATATATTTTCATGATTTAAAAATTTTTATGCTGTCGTCTCAGGATGATTTTATTTTACCAGTTAAATTATTTTCTTTACATAGTTTACATTATATCTTTTGTTTCTTAATTTTATTACTATTTATTTTTTTTAGGTATTTCTTATTCGGCTAGGGATGATCAGTCCGAAACTTTATGCTATGTGGATTATTAAAGGATTTGGACAAAGGCAATAGAGTATCAGCTAATTATTGTGTCAATTAATTGATGCGATGGTATAATAAATTTGGTGATGGTAATAAAAAGAACTTTTTTTTAAAGGTTATTGAAATGGTAAATATTAATCGAGTATTTTTTGATTTTAATAAAATAACTGAAAACGAAATAGATTCCTTTTCATAGTGTAACTAAAATTAGCAAATTCAATGGTTTTTGAAAAGGCAAAGAACTCACTTTAGTACTTATGGATAAAATAATCAATGCTTCATTTGATGAGTCACCTACCCAAATTTATTTCACAAAAATATATTATGTGCTCAAATAATTATTTACGATTAAGAAAAATTGTAAATCAAACTTTACAATAAATTTTTTTTTGCTTCATTAAAACAAATTAACTGCGCCTAATTAACTCTAATTCCGTGTATCTGGTTCTGACCTTTCAGACATTTCAGACTAACTGTCAGATATTGACGTATTCATTCAGACCTTTTATGACTTTTATGACATCGTTATTTAATTTTTGTTAAAAGGATATACCATGATTGTTATAAATATACTTCGTTTTGCTTATATTTGATAGGATAAAATAAAATTATATCTTTTCCCTTTGGCCAACTTCAGAGCACTGATCAGAATCCTTTTAATTTATCGATAAAGTCCAACTTTTATTTTTCAATTGATCGACATTCGTCCAATTTCGATAAACCAATCCAATTTAAAAATATACTATCGCCTTATTTAATAATATTACCTCCCATATGAATTAGGTTACATTTCGTCAAATCTCAAAGTTTAAAATAATTCATTAGAACGGAACGTTTTGAATCAGTTTAGATCTCCAGTCCTGTCAACAATCAGATCAGATTACAAGTATTGTGAAATATGCTATGCATGAATAACGTAATTTTTTCTTTATCACGCTATTTTACGATTGCATATTTTGTTCGAAATTCTCTCTCTCTAAATCAATCAAGAAAATTTTCTTTTTTTACATGAAATTGTTATTCCATGTGAGCATAACATTCCTTACCCGTGTGAACTACTATTTATTAATTATTAAAAGTAATTCTGTGTTTATATTAATTATTTTTACAATTTTATGTTTAAATAAACAAAAAATCAAATTTCAAACTAAATGTTTCACGATCATGTGACAGACTATTTTTTTTTATTTATCACGCCTGTGTACACCTGGCACCAATCCTATCCTATCCATTTAAGATAAATTAGCAACCATGGAAAGTTCACATAAATAATAGCAAAAATAAGGTTTACATCTCTTGGAAAATTGCCGCAGTATAACTCTTAATTTTTCGAGTAAGAAGGTTTTAATTACGCCAAAATAATTGGTGTGATTATAAACAAGCCATTTTTAATAAGTTAATTAATAAATACGGCTTAAAACAAAGTGGTCAATAATTTTAGTAACTATATAAGTAAAATAAAATTACAAGTCTATATATACAAAAAATAAAAAATAAAATAAAAAATAATTTAAATAATCATTTCTAGCCAGGTGACAAGCGACAAAAACTTTTGAAGGATTGATGAAATTACTTTATCTGATAAAAAGTACATCATAAATTGGGATCCATATTAAATAACGAAACTCGAAACTCGAAATCCTGAAATTATATATATCCGACATCACATTTTCGAATTTACTATTTCTCAAATATTACATTTTCCCAAACTATGAAGCCCTATTGATCGTTCTTCATCAATCTGTAATTGTAGAGACAATACTTATATAATTAGTCACGTACAGAGTTTGAAAATATTTAGTATTATTAGAGAATCCATGAAAAACGAAATTCTAAATGATTGAAATATTAATTCCAAATAACAAAATATATTAAACTTTGCTTTGATAATGCTATACCATAATATAATTTAATAAAATCTGCAACAAATATTAGGAATTTTTGACGAATAGTATGTATTTGTACACGTAAATTTTGATCATTGCGGGGGATTTTAAGCCATTTTATTTAAAAATTAAATTGATTTATAAATTAAATAATAAAATTTATTACTTAAGCAATATTTAATAATTTACAAAATTAATGTGTAGTATGTTTAAAATCCAAATGATGAAACTAATTTATTAAATTTATCCTGTAATTATGATACAAACAAATTATAACCGATTATATATTTTATTAAATTATAAGTTTAAAGAATCCATGTTTTAACACTAATTGGAATAATTACAAACATTCGAGAATCTAATTTCAGCGTTAATCCTTGGGATTTATGCACCGTTAAGGCAAAAACAATTAGAATAGGGTTTTTTTAAACAAAAAGGGGAACAATTTAATCGTGGAAAATTTCTGGTTCGCTTTAATTTGCACAGGCAAAGCTTTTTTATATTTTAACTAAATTAATTTTTTTTAAGCGAATTGAATCGCTGCATGCCACGACAAAATTTTCGAAATTTTGTTTTATTTAGCACTTTTATTTACTGTTTGCTTGCTTTACTTTGTAAGCAAATAGCGTTATTAATTATTTTATTATTTTTGTATTTTTATTTTTTACAATGGTGATGGTGATGTTTCATCGCGTTACTCCTCAAGATACCCAAGTTAAATATAAAGATAATAATTCACTTATATTTTTTAATAATCTACAATATACATTGCACGCCATATTTCTCAAGGTATTCTTAATTTAACTTTGATTTATTATTATACTATTGAATCAAATTTATTACTAAATTTAAATTGTCAGAATGGTCAAGAAATTGTAATGAGCGGATGAAAATAGCATTAAGAAAGAATTTAAAAATAGACGATATTAGTTACACTATGTGACGTATAATTTAAAATATATGTTGGATTAATGCAATAATATTATTTTTCTTACAATTTTTAAAACTACATTTTACAAACATGACATATTAATTAACAAGGACATAGCATTCAACACATGAAATGAGAATGCCTACATCACATGCGCTTAACAAACATAATCATGCAAAGGGTTGCAATTTTGAACATAATCAAAAAGTTTGTAAAAGAAGTGACAAAATTAATCAAAAAAATGAAACTAATGAAATTCCAATTATTTATGTACTATGGATAACGAGACTTGTTTACAACTTTAAAAAAATGACCATTTTATTTAAAATTACATAAAAAATATCATATTCTTTTTTGAATTATATTGTGTCTGAAAATTAAAATTCAAATATATTTCTTTCTGTGGAATATTTGATTGTGACATAACGAATCAATATCGAACTCAATTTGATTCATAGCATTGGGTAAATACTGTATCAACCGAGGCGAAAAGTCGATTACGTCAGGAGCAGGTCATCACTATCCACAGCATCATTTCGAGCAATGTGAGTGCATATATCCAAAAACGACAGGATTTAATGAAATATTCAATATTTTTCAAAAGAATGTTAATCGGGGGTATTTTCTAGGTCAACTCTGATACTAAAATTATTTTATTAGAACTTAAATGATATTGATTAGAACATAGTTTATTTAAAAGGCAATGATATTTTAAGCACGAGTTAGGGTGTATGTCGTACAAATTTCCAAAAAGAAATTACGTTATTCTAACAACTTATTAGAGGATATTCTAAAAAGGAATGATAGCCGAGGGGCCGAAAATTAATAAAATAATAAATTTTAGAACAGTTAGTTAAAAATCCCCCCTTACTCGACATAACATTTTGAATTTCTCAATTAAAAAAAAATTAATCGTAAAATAGGTTTATTAATCCCGAAAAATATTTGAAAGTTATGGAAAAAAAAATTAAGGATTTAGAGCAAAGTAAAAAAAAAGTTGCCGATGAAAATCAATTGCTACTCTCCTTTTTATTGAATGAAATAGGAAGTAATAATTTAGATAAATTAAGAGAATTATTAGACGGACAGAATCTTATTGAGATATTAATTGAATTAGATGATCGAAGACAAGAAATTCTAAACTTAACTTTTGATTTAAAAATAAAAAAAGAAGAATTATTAAAGTTAAGTTCTCAATTCAACTTTTCAGAAAAAAAATGTAAATTGCGAGAAGAAGAAGACAAAATCAAGCAAGAAACTATTAATGTTTTAGAGAAAAAGATTAAAGAACAAGACAAAGAAAATAAAGTCAATCAAGGAATAGTTAGCAATTTAAAAAAAAAAACTAGAGAACGAGAAGAAGAAGCCAGACAAAAGCATAGAACAATTAGTCTTTTGGAAGAAACGATTAAAGAGCGAGTAGAAGAAGCCAAAGCCAAGCAAGAAACTATTAACGTTTTAGAGGAAAAGATTAAAGCCAATAATGCAACGATTTTTTGTTTAGAGGAAACGGTTAAAGCGCGAGAAAATAAATCTAATACCAATCAAGGAATAATTAACAATTTAAAAAACAAAACTAGAGAACGAGAAGAAGAAGACAGACAAAAGCATAGAACAATTAGTCTTTTGGAAGAAACGATTAAAGAGCGAGTAGAAGAAGCCAAAGTCAATCATGCAAGGATTTGTTATTTAGAGGAAATGTTTAAAGCCAATAATGCAACGATTTTTTATTTAGGGGAAATGGTTGACTCACGAGTAGAAGAAGTCAAAGCCAATCATGCAACGATTTTTTGTTTAGAGGAAATGGTTAAAGCGCGAAAAAATAAATCTAATGTCAATCAAGGAATAATTAACAATTTAGAAAAAAAGGTTAAAGTTCTAGAAGAAGCAGCCAGAAAAAAGAATAGAACAATTTGTCTTTTGGAAGAAACGATTAAAGAGCGTGATGAAGTAGTCAAAGCCAATACTTTACTAATTTCATGTTTAAAGAAAGAGGTTACAGCGCATGAAATAGAAAAAAAAGAAAACCAAAAAACTATTAATGAATTAAAAGAACAAATTAGTAAGCAATCCGAAGACACTATTGGTGAAAAGGTAAAGACCAGAATGCAAGAAGAACAAATGAAAGCACATGAATTGGATATTATTTATGACACTACTACAAAAATTTTAACCATTACTAAGAATAATAAAGATGGCATATTAAAGACAACAGGCGGTTTGCAAAGATATAGAAATTTAACAAAACTCATGTGCGTTGATGTTCATTTAACCAACTTACCACCTTTACCTAATTCCTTGATATATCTCCTATGCGATAATACTAAAATAACCAGCTTACCAACTTTATCTGATTCGCTAACGTATATCAGTTGTTATAATACTAAAATAACTTCCTTGCCAACATTACCTAGCTCCTTAGAAGAACTCTATTGCAATAATACTCAATTAACTAGTTTACCATCTTTACCTGATTCCTTAAAAATTCTTCGATGCGATAATACTAAAGTAAAAAGCTTACCAACTTTACCTAACTCCTTAACAAAACTCCATTGCTATAGTACTCCAATTACTAGCCTACCAACCTTACCCAACTCATTAACAATTCTTCGATGTTATAGCACTCACTTAACTAGCTTACCAACTTTACCTAATTCCTTAATAGAGCTCTATTGCGATAATACTGAAATAACCAACTTACCAAATTCACCTCAATCATTAATTTTTATTTCCCCCAAATATTTAAATAAGAAGGAGATTATTATTAAGTAATAGAAATAAGAAAATTAAAATAAAAAAGGTTATCAAGCAAATAATAATTCTTCAGTTTACCTTCATTTTCTAAATTACTATTGTATTCCCTTCTTATTGTCCTTTATCAGAAGCTGATCGAATCAACTACTTTTTTTGGAAAGTAGTTTCGGTGTATTATTTGATAGAAATATTTTATTATCGAAAACTAGTCTAAAATTTCAACCATGTGTTGTATTATTAAATAAAGTTCTGACAGTGTATACTCAATTTGAATTGCATTTCATGCTTGTAAAATCTTTCTCAAGTTTTTATTTAAATTGGCGTAATTTTTTTATGAAAATTTTTTTTTTTTGATCGGAACATTACAAAAAAAGATTTATTAAAAACTTTATTCATCGCATCGAAAATTAAATATTAAAAATTATCAAAAATTACTAATTTTATGGTTTAAGATATCATTCGAGTAGCAATTTAACATTTTTTTTTCAGCGACGAACGGCATCATGCAGATCGGTACGATCCTCCAAATTTTGTACTGGTTCTATAATATTATTGAGACCAATAAGATACTTTCTATCCGTACGATTTTCTATATACCCTATGTTAATGATCTCAATTATATTAATAGGATTGATTTTGCATTCGTCAAAACGTTCTTAATAAAAAAAAAAATTTTTTTCAAAAAAAAAAAAAATACCTTAATAAAAATTAAATAAATCGTTGCAAAATAATAATATAATTTGAAAATTCGTACCGTTCTGCAAAATCGTACCGTACTGATCAGCTGAACCGTACCACCAGTTTTCCTTATACTCCGAACTTCAGTATGTAAGGATATTGGTATTCTGAGCCAATGAAATAAAGTCTTAGCATTCAAACTATCGGATATTTCAATTATAGAGATTAATGGGCATGATAAATAATTTAATATAATCGCGACATGGTTAAAATAAGCCGGCAAAAACATTAGTCATTAAGTTTCACGGAATTAGATATTATAGATATTTCGTTTCATTGGATTATGAGAAGAAAAAATATCATTTAAAATTTAGAGTAAGTCATTTAAGCAGATTTTGATTTTTTTAATTAAAAAGTATTTGGAAATTCAATATAAAAAAATTCACTATTTCGAGATATTTATTTTAATTATAAAATGTTACAAAAATTATGAAGAACATGAAAAAAAATTCAACTATTCGATAAAATACTGTACGTTATTAAACGAAAAAAAAATGTTCGGTATGAAGATAGCCGAGTAAATTTAGATGCCAATCCTTATTCCGATTAAAATTATGATCAAAATCCATTTGCAATAAAAATGAATTCGATTAGAATCGATTAATCGAAATCGAAAATCGAAACTTATATAATTGAATCTTGAGATTCGATTAATGAAATTCAAATTATTTATTTATACAGATTTGAACGCCTGGAACACCATCAGCAGAGGTGCTAACTGATTATTTGGGTTACCTTATTTGTATTAATTGGTAGGTAAATTTAATACAAGACAGATAACTTTTCTTGGTACTATGGATAACGAATCTTGTTAAAAAAATGACCATTTTATTTAAAATTACATAAGCAATATCATTCTTTTTTGAATTATATTTCGTCTGAAAATTGGAACTCTCTCTCTCTCTCTGAGAGAGAGAGAGAGAGAGAGAGAGAGAGTTCAAATATATTTCTTTCTGTGGATTATTTCTTTGTGAAATAACGCCTCAATATCGAATTAATTTGATTCATAGCATTGGGTAAATAATGTATCAACCAAAAGTACGTCACGAGCAGGTCATCACTATCCACAGCATCATTTCGAGCAATGTGAGTGTATATATCTAACAATGACAGGATTTAATGAAATATTAATGATTTTTCAAAAGAATGTTAATCGGCGGTATTTTCTTGGTCAACTGATATAAAAATTATTTTATTACTTGGATGGTAATATAACAAAAGAAAAGATATTTTTAAGTACGTCACGTTTATCACCTGAGTTAGGTGTATGATGTACAAATTTCAAAAAAGAATTACGTTATTCTAACTACTTATTAGCGTAACAATAACAAAATAATGAGGTTATTCTAAAAAAGGAATGATAGCCGAGGGGCTGAAAATTAATAAATAATAAAGTTTAGAACAAATAGTTAAAAATCCCCCTTCCTCAACATAACATTTTAAAATTTCTCAATTAAAAAGAAAGAATTTAATCGTAACGGATTAATTAATTAATCCCGAAAAATATTTGAAAGTTATGGAAAAAGAAATTAATGATTTAAAGCAAAGTAAAAAAAAAGTTGACGATGAAAATCAATTTCTACTCTCCTTTTTATTGAATGAAATAGGAAGTAATGATTTAGATAAATTAAGAGAATTATTAGACGGACAGAATCTTATTGAGATACTAGTTGAATTAGATGATCGAAGACAAGAAATTCGAAACTTAACTTTTGATTTAAAAATAAAAAGAGAAGAATTATTAAAGTTAAGTTCTCAATTCAACTTTTCAGAAAAAAAATGTAAATTGCGAGAAGAAGAAGACAAAATCAAGCAAGAAACTATTAATGTTTTAGAGAAAAAGATTAAAGAACAAGACAAAGAAAATAAAGTCAATCAAGGAATAGTTAGCAATTTAAAAAAAAAAACTAGAGAACGAGAAGAAGAAGCCAGACAAAAGCATAGAACAATTAGTCTTTTGGAAGAAACGATTAAAGAGCGAGTAGAAGAAGCCAAAGCCAAGCAAGAAACTATTAACGGTTTAGAGGAAAAGATTAAAGCCAATAATGCAAGGATTTGTTATTTAGAGGAAATGGTTAAAGCCAATAATGCAACGATTTTTTGTTTAGAGGAAACGGTTAAAGCGCGAGAAAATAAATCTAATGTCAATCAAGGAATAATTAACAATTTAGAAAAAAAGGTTAGAGAACGAGACGAAGCAGCCAGAAAAAAGCATAGAACAATTAGTCTTTTGGAAGAAACGATTAAAGAGCGAGAAGAAGTAGTTAAATCCAATAATTTACTGATTACTAATTTAGAGAAAGAAGTTTCAGCGCATGAAATAGAAAAAAAAGCCAAACAAATAACAATTAGTAATTTTGAAGAAATTGTTAGAGAGCAGCAAGAAATGTTTAGCGAATTAAAAGAAAAGATGGGAGAGCGGGATGTAGAAATCAAGAAAAACCAGAAAATTATTAATGAATTAAAAGAACAAATTAGTAAGCAATCCGAAGACACTATTGGTGAAAAAGTAAAGACCAGAATTCAAGAAGAACAAATGAAAGCACAAGAATTGGATATTATTTATGACGAAGTTACTACATTAACTTTAACAATTACCAAACATAATAAAGATGACACATTAAAGAGATTGCAAAGATATAGAAATTTAACAAAACTCATCTGCGAAGAAGTTCATTTAACCAACTTACCACCTTTACCTAACTCCTTAGAAGAACTCTATTGCAATAATACTCAATTAACTAGTTTACCAACTTTACCTGATTCCTTAACAATTCTTCGATGTGATAATACTAAAGTAAAAAGCTTACCACCTTTACCTAATTCCTTAAAAGAAATCCACTGCTATAATACTAAATTGACTTCCTTACCAACTTTACCCAACTCTTTAAAAGAACTCTATTGTTATAATAATCAATTAATTCGCATACCAAACTTACCTAATTCTTTGACAATTCTTCGATGTGATTATACTAAAATATATTTCTTACCAACGTTACCTAACTCCTTAACTTATCTTCAATGCAATGGTAATAACATAAATAGCTTACCAAATTTACCAAACTCCTTAATAGAACTCTATTGTAATGACACTAAGTTAACTAAGCTACCACCATTATCTAACTCATTGACAATTCTTCGATGTGATAATACTCAATTAACCATCTTACCAACTTTACCTAACTCCTTAATAGAGCTCTATTGTGATCATACTAAAATAACTAGCTTACCAAATTTACCTAAATCATTAATTATTTCCCCAAAATATTTAAAAATAGAAAATTGATTATTATTGAGCAAAAGAAATATGAAAAAGAAAATAAAAAAAAGTTAACAAGCAAATAATAATTATAGATTTTTTTAATTGTTCTTTCAGTTTGCCCTCATTTTCTAAAATGTTTTCTTTCTTATTGTCCTTTATAATTTTTCTATTCGAATACTTCAACATTTTTTTTGATAGTTTTGGATGTAAAATCGATTTTCAAAAAAAATTATTTGTATAGGAAATTTATAAAGATCAATAGTAATAATTTTATTATCGAACTAGTCTAAAATTTCGATGTATGTTGTACTATTAAATAAAGTTCTGACAGTGTATACCCAATTTGAATTGCATTTCATGCTTGTAAAATCTTTCTCAAGTTTTTATTTAAATTGGCGTAATTTTTTTATGAAAATTTTTTTTTGGTCGGAACATTACAAAAAAAATTTATTAAAAGACTTTATATTTATCGAGTAGCAATTTAACAATTTTTTATTTATCTTTGTTCACTGATATCCAACCAATAAAAATAACCGTATATTGCAAAAGTTGGAATGCTCTGTTGTAAAAAATTTAAATTAAATGTTGTGAAAGCAAAAACGTTGATAAACTCAAGAATTGAAAACAATATGCAGAATTGCGAGATATTCTAGTAACCTGAATATTATTTTACATTGTTTTTTTTTCAGCGAAGCGACGAACGAACTTCTAGGGAGGAGGAAAACAGTACGGTACGATCAAAATTTGGACAAAGTACCGTACCGTCCGATTTTCTATATACTCTATGTTAATGATCTCAATGATATTAATAGGATTGATTTTGCATTCGTCAAAGCGTTCTTAATAAAAAAAAAAAAATTTACCTTAATAAAAATTAAATAAATCGAGGGAGGAAAATCAGTACGAATCGAATATGATCGATTATAATTTGAAAATTCGTACCGATCTGCAAAATCATACCGTACTGCCAGTTTTTCCTATACTCCGAACTACTGTATGTAAGGATATTGGTATTCTGAATCAATGAAATAAAGTCTTAGAATTCAAGCTATATAAACAATCGGATATTTCAATTATAGAGATTAATAGGCATTTAATATAATCGCGACATGGTTAGAATAAGCCGCAAAAACATTAATCACTAAGTTTTACGGAATTTCATTGGATTATGAGAAGAAAAAATATCATTTAAAATTTAGAGTAAGTCATTTAAGCAGATTTTATTTTTTTTAATTAAAAAGTATTTGGAAATTCAATATAAAAAAATTCACTATTTCGAGATATTTAATTATATATTTAATTATAAAATGTTACAAAAATTATGAACAACATGAAATAAAATTCAACTATTCGATAAAATACTGTACGTTTTTAACGAAAAAAAAATGTTCGGTATGAAGATAGCTGAGTAAATTTAGTAAAGCTAAATTCAAACAGGAACATTTCTTTTCAAAGTTCTAGGGGAGAGATGCGTTAATGATTTAGGTAAATTTGGTAAACTTGTTATTTTAGTTTTATCACAATAGAGTTCTAATAAAGAGTCAGGTAAAGTTGGTAAGCTAGTTAATTGAGTATTATCGCATCGAAGAATTGTCAATGAGTTAGGCAAGGTAGGTAAGCTAGTTAATTTAGTGCTAAAGCAATAGAGTTCTGTTAAGGAGTCAGGTAAATTTGGTAAGCTAGTTAATTGTGTGTTATCGCATCGAAGAATTTTTAAGGAGTTAGGCAAGGTTGGTAAACTATCTATTTTAGTATTATCGCATTGAAGAATCGTTAAGGATTTGGGTAAGTTTGATGGTAATTTAGTTAATTGAATATGAGAACAATAAAGTTCTGTTAAGGAGTTGGGTAAAGTTGATAATTTAAGTATTTTAGTATTATTAAACCGAAGAATTGTTAGGGAGCTAGGTAAGCTTGGTAGCTTAGTTATTTGAGTATTATTGCAATGGAGTTCTGTTAAGGAGGTAGGTAAAATTGGTAAGCTAGTTATTTGAAGGTTTTCGTCGCAGTAGAGAGCTGTTAATTTCCGATATCTTTGCAATCCTCCTGACTTTAATATGTCATCTTTATTATGCTCAGTAATGGTTAAGTTTTCAGTTGAATCATCATAAATAATATTTGATTTTTGTGATTTAATTTTTTCTTCTTGCTTATCCCGTTCTCCCGTCCCTTTTTTTAAATCGCTAATAATTTCTTGCTGTTTTTTAAACTGTTCTACAAAATTACTAATTGTTTCTTGTTTGGCTTTATTTTCTTTTTCTTGCGTTTTAACTTTTTCTTCTAAATAAAAAGTCGTCATTTGCTTTTTTATGGCTGCTTCTTCTAATTCTTTAACTTTTTCTACGAAATTATTAATTATTTCTTGTTTAGCTATAACTTGTTTTTCTCGCTCTTTAACCTGTTCTTCTCGCACTTTAACCTTTTTTTCTGAATGGTTTAATTGAGAACTTAACTTTAATAATTCTTCTTTTTTTATTTTTAAATCAAAATTTAAGTTTTGAATTTCTTGTTTCTGTTCATCAAAATCAGCTAATATCTCAGTAAGTTTCTGTCCTGCTAATAATTCTTTTAATTTATTTAAATCATTACTTCCAATTTCATTCAATAAAAAGGAGAGTAGAAATTGATTTTCATCGTCAACTTTTTTCTTACTTTGCTTTAAATCATTAATTTCTTTTTCCATAACTTTCAAAGGTTTTTCGGGATTATTTACTAAATCCATTTTAAGATTAAATTTTTTCTTTTTTGAGAATTGTAAAAATTTTACGGTAATGAGGAATTTTTAATTTTATTAATTTTCAGCCCTCGGCTATCATTCCTTTTTTTGGAAATAGCGAAATTCTAAATGGAAATTTTTTAGTCATCATAGAGAGTTTCGTAAAAGTATTGTATTACAGTACAAATTTAGAAGTAAACTAAAAATGTATTGTGTAATCGGATGAATTTTTTTTAAAAAAAAAATAGTAATTTCGGTTAAGTATTATTAATAGTTCGTGTAACAAGAAAAATGCGTGGCTATAGAGTAATAGTTTTTCTCAATCTAGTTCTTTTTCTTGACTAATCACTTTATGACAAAACGTAAACGACTCTTTTCTATTGGGCCTATAGTATTTCGACTTCACTATGGTTCATTTTCTCATATGCTAATAATGCTAATCCAATGCGTTGTTAGTGATAGTCTAGTTATGACGCATTAGTACTGCACCAATTACAATTGGCGAATGATGATCCTGACGATCACGGATCTTAACTTTCTAATTTCTATCATTTCTCTAATTACTCACATCTCTATAATATCTTAGCTATCTCTAATTTCTCACATTTCTCTAATATATTTAATTTCTCATATTTATTACATTTCTTATATTTCTCTAATATCTATTTACTATTGATGTATTTTATATAAATATCTTGTATTTCTACCTTGATAAAAGGGCAGAGTCATTACAATTCTCTAATAAATCAATAACATTTACCTCTAAAACTTATCTTTGCTCATTAAATAAATCATTCTTCTTTAAATCTATATCGATAAAAATGACCTGACCCTTCAATTTAATTATTTGTGTTTATTTCTTCCTAGTTTAGACGTACTTAAACTCCCTGCTAGCAAATAATCTTTGTTAACTTAACGACAAATGTTCAAGTTTAACAGTGTATTGGTTTGAGCATAGTTACTGAATTAAATAGAGTTCATTTTATTTTAAAATTATTGAAGATAACAAAAATAATGCCCTTTTACCTGGATATTTTTATAAAGAGGTAATTCAAGTAATATTAAAGAAACTAACAAACTTGTATCAACAAATCTTTTCAACAAAAACAAATTACTTGATCACATGAGATTTATTAAATAATAGATCAAATATTTTTGAAATCTTTAGAAAGTATTAACTTTGGCCTTTTTTTATTTATTTTGATGAATTTAAATTTTTGTATATATTGCAATATTGAAAATACAAGTCAGAAAAGTGATGAAGATTTATATTATTATTTGCATTAAAGGAAACAGTAAGATATTTTATGAACAAAAATTACTAAAAATTTTGTGTTATTTGAGTATTTGAAAAAATTTATGAAAACAAAGTATTCAAAGAAAAAACTTCCAATAATATTTGAAGAATAATTGGTTTATTTCCTATATTTTATGAAAAAATCTTTTTGGGTAATGGATTCAAGGACTCAACAAATTATAAAAAAGTAAATTTTGTATAGTATATTAACCTAAATATTGGCTAGAAGAATACAATTTGAAATCATTATATTTACATTTTCTTAAATATCATACATATATAGTCAACTCTTTTTATAGTACCCTCTGTTATAATCACATTCACTTATATAGGAGGTGGTCAGTAAAAAAGGGAGAAATCTAAATTTTGATCTAAATTTATATTATTAAACCACTTGGCTAATCTTAATTATGTATACAAATTTAGCTTAATATAATAAAAATTAATAAAAATTTGGATTTTCCTCTTTTATACTAACCGTCACCCATATAGTCATACCAGTCAACTGTTCTAAAATTATATATATAAAATCTATTTTATATAATTACTTTCTGTCTAATATCACTACTATACCTATTTTAAAAACCTTATATTTAAAAGCTATTTTATTACTAATCATAAAATTTTAAATGAAAATATATAACAAACAAAAATAATTTTAATTTCTGAAAATATTTAAGTTTTAATATACAGTTGAATTTCATTATAACAAATTTCTATATTTTGAATTTTTTATTATACTGCTTTACATAAGTAGTCCTGAATTTTATTAAATAATATTATTGAATATAATGAATCTTTATAATAAAACTTATTATTATGTATAACAAATTAAAAATCCTGACAAATATAATAAATGAGACTTTTGTTAATAAAGTTATTTAAAAAATGAATTTTTATTAAATTTACATTAGTCAAAATCATTTTATTCAGCACTAATACCATTCGGTTAACATTCAGCTGATTCGGTTATATGATTTGGCAAAATTCAGCTTATGTTACAAAAATCAATAGTCATTTGTTACACCACACATAATTTAGCATTATTTCAGTATTAGATTTTTTGTCAAACATTCAGTCAATTCGGTCATGTGATTTAGAAAAAATTCAGATTAAGTTACAAAAACCAATAGTAATTTGTTACATCATACATAATTTAGCATTATTTCAGCATTAAAACCTTTCGGAATAATATTCAGCAAAATTTCAGTTAAACTTAAGATTTGACAACAAATCGACTATATCTCACTAGTCAAAATCTGCTGAGCTGATTTTTGCTAAAATTATAAAAATATTCTGAGAGTATTGTCTCAAAGAGACGATATATGCATCTCAAAGGAATGATACAATCGTCCTAAAAGAGACAATAGAAATCGTTTCAAAAGGAACGAAATATCATTCCTAAAGAAACAATAGAAATTATCTATAAAGGAACGAAATATCGATCATTCCCAAAGAAATGATAGAAATTGTCTCAAAAGAAACGATATAATTGTCCCAAAAAAGATGATAGAAATTGTCCCTAAAGGAACGAAATATCATTCCCAAAGAGACAATAGAAATCGTCTTAAAAGGAACGATACAATCATCTCAAAAGAAACAATACAATCATCCTAAAAGAGACGATAAAAATTGTTCACAAAGAAACGATATATCATCATTCTAAAGAATGATTCAATAATCATTCTGAAAGAACGATTTTTTCATCATTTTTAAGGAACGATACATCATCATTCTAAAAGAATAATGATTTTGATCGTTTTATTAGACAATACTTCATCGTTCCAAAAAAATGATGATTTTGATTGTTCTTAAGGAATAACGATAATACTTTATCATTCTGAAAGAACAATAATTTTTTATCATTCTATTAGAACGATCGAATTATCATTCCCTTAGAATGATTTTTTTATGGTTTTATTAGAACGATACATAATCCTTCTGAAAAAACGATGATTTTTTATCATTTAATTGGAACGATTGAATTATCGTTCCTTTAGAAAGATTTTCTATATCATTCTTAGGAATGATTAAAATATCATTGATTTTGCAATCGGATGATGCAAAATCATCTATTTATAGCATTTATGATAAGATCTAAATTTCAAAATTTTAGTTCAGTTTACAATATAAAACTGATAAAATTACGGAATATTCCAAAAAAATTTATTTCTGAAAATTTAACCATTTTCTTTCTTTTTTCTTGTTTTTTTAGGAAATTTTTTATTTTGTAATTAAGGTAAACAAATCAGAAGTGACTTTTGTAGCATTTTCCTTTCTTTATTCTTGTTTTTTAGGAAATTCTTATTTTAGGAATTAAGGTAAGCAAATCAGAAGTAACTTTTAAATGGTTTTAAACTCTTTTTTCTTGCTTTTTTTTAGAAAATTTTTTTTTTCAAAACTAAAGTAAGCCATTCAGAGGATACTTTTGGATGATTTTTAACCATTTTTTCTCTATATTTCTTTACTTTCTTTAGGAATATATTAAGGTAAGCCTTTGGAAGTGGTATTTTGGTGGGTTTCTAACTGTTTTCTTTATTTTTTCTTTACTTTTTTTAGGAATACATTAAGGTAAGCCTTTCGGGGGTGGTATTTTAGTAGTTTTAACTGTTTTATTTATTTTTTCTTTACTTTTTTTTTAGGAATACATTAAGGTAAGCCTTCAGAAGTAGTATTTTGGTAGGTTTCTAACTGTTTGCTTTATTTTTTCTTTACTTTTTTTTAGGAATACATTAAGGTAAGCCTTTCAGAGGTGTTATTTTGATTGTTTTCTAACTGTTTTTTTATTTTTTCTTCACTTTTTTTTTAGGAATACATTAAGGTAAGCCTTCGAAAGTGATATTTTGATAAGTTTTTTAACTGATTTCTTTATTTTTCCTTATCTTTAAAAAATCAAATGTATCTTTTTTGAATAAAATATAATATAATCTACAGTCAAACCTTGATATAGCGAACCCTTGATATAGTGAATTTTTAAATCAAATATATTAAAATTACCTTTAC